GGCACCAGTTACATGGAAACTCGACAAATTTCCTATGGTGGGGGGGTGGGTGGGTTGCAACTTGCGATTGATCAGCATCCCTACCAAGGGGTTAGACGTACTCCTACTCCACCTCTACTGCATAAACTATGGCAGAGGCCTCGTTTCCACCTTTTCAGTTGAATTTAGGGATTTAGAATTCTTACCACTTTATGTTCATCATCGCTCCTGTTACAGGATGTGACAGACAGTTGACTCGTTTGTACTTCACCATTGTCTAAAGGAAACAGTAACACAATGAAACACCATCAATCTCCAAGAATATAATATATTAAAGTTCACACGGCAACCAGGTGGACAATCAGACATGGTTTGATGCTATTCTGTGTAACGGGCCGCAAGATTACAAACAACAAGACATAAGAAGCTTCTCTCAGAACTCAATACATATGTATTGGGAGCTCGTGTTCTTATGTCCTCGCTCGGTTGTTGCACCCACGTGACCTTTTCGTAAGGTCACCTGACGTAACACAATCCCTACTTTAATCCTATTCCGCCCACGCTCCATTTAATCGTGACGATGGCAGTTTGCTTCCTGACGCCTATTTACACCTCGTCAGAAAAAAAGGCCGCTAATTATATTTAGTGATCATATAAAAGGACCTCTTGTTGCAGCGTTTAGATCACCCCTGATGAAGGCACTCGACAAAAGTGTCGAAACTTTGGGTCAATGAATTGTAACTTCTTCGGTTACATTCATTAAATCTGTAAACCAGAGTAGCATCAAACCATGTCTCCAAGAATATGTTGGTATAGAATGAAAATCTTAAACAAGGATCAAACATTTTCTCATAATCGTTGTGGGAAAGAAGTGGGAGGCGTGAGCGCACAATAGTAAGGCGGAAAACGTCAAAAACTTAGAGTTCAAAAACCATTTCTTTTAAGCAACCAATCATGACAACACATAATAAACATGCGAGATTCTTTTCAATCAGATGTTGGAAGCTTACATGAAGGCTGTCCAGATACTTCTTAGGATCGTTTTTTCTAAGGTCCGGCATGCCTTGTAACAACATAAAGTCGTACGTTATCTGGATAAAAAGATAAAAAATGTAAAGTATCAGTCTGTGACATCACAAGAACCATTACGTTAATGAAAGTGATCCTCGCAGTAATGTGCACTACTATATGACTTTCATATATTCTTAACCACAAGAACCATTGTCATGCATGCACACTGAAACGTATAAAAACGGTGAATAATTTAAACTCGGATAATGTTGCAATTTTACTAAAATTGTTCAAATACATCACATATGACCAAGAGATTATTAATCTCTTGATACGGCACATAAAAAGACCATCTTGCCTGAGGTGGAAACACTTACCGAATAATCTTCACTTTTTTCTTTATCTCCTGATTCTTCTACGCATTTATCAAGAAATTTCTAAAAAGGAAAAGAATATTACCCTGTGACTCAGAACTTTCATTGCCTCGCGCTAGTTAAACGAATAGTTCTTTTTATTTCCTGCACGACCGAGCTCAAAATTTGCCATTTTTGTTCTTCTGTTTACAGGATATTCCTTGTTCATTTGTTTGAATGATTTGCTTCCAATGGTTATGAGAAAATAATAAATCTCAACGCCACTGGCTCAAAATTTCTCGCCAAGTTTAGCTTTTTGAAATTCCAAACAGCCCTTTGCCCTCAAAACAACACTTTCTCCTCGGCAAATTAGCAAAAGGTTTCATTCTAAATCTCAGAATAAATTCCCCGTCAAAAAGAAAGCAGACGCGAGTTTATGGAATACAATTGCCTAGAGGAAAGGTTTTCAAAGGTGTAGGCTAAGACAGTACTCTTGTTTCTTCCCACCCAGATCTTTAGTCTTTTTTGGGTGTCTCCAATAATTTCTTAACAATTAAGGTACTGAGAGGTTTTGATACAAAGTTGAATAAGTGCCGAAACCGACCTCTGCAGCCAACGGCATCTTTATAATAAGGCTTTGTAGTTGAGTAAGGCCTTCTTCAACTCTATGACACAGTTCTCTCCACCTGATAGGGATGATGTTCATAAATTAACAAAATGATATTCATAATTTATGGGAATCTTTTTATCAAGAGAAACGCGTATCCATCACTACATCATCTCACCGTAAATGGTCTCCAATGCACATCACGACAGGTTCTTTTCCAGCCTCTATTGCAACATCCAGTGCATTCTGATTGTAAGCGTTATACGTCACGTTCTGGGAATCATGGGATAGCAGATACGTCACTATGGCTGCATGTCCATTTTTGGCAGCCAGGTGCAAAGCGGTGTCCTGGCAAGGAGTGAAGAAGTAGATTAACATGATAAGATTTCCAGGCGAAATATTTTGGACATTTTTTTTTTTAACAATACTATGAATATATTCAGGAGTTTGTGTACCCATGTATGCGTGATACCAGCTAAAGCGAAGGCACAGGACCAAGACCACCGTTTCATTTTGCAAAATAAATTTATTCTTCAAAGACAATATTCGCGAGAAATAGTTTTTCGCGAAATGTCTGAAATCTGGTTGACGCATAGCTAAGGGAAAGAGACCTGTGAGATACAAAAAGCCAGTTTTATAAAGCGGAGAGCTGCTTTCTTAGGAACTTACCTGGTCAGCGTTATCTTCAACATTAATACAGTTTGGATTCGAAGAGCAGACCAACTGAACACTTTTTAGCGATCCTTTTGCTGCGGCGAAATGTAAAGGTGTCCGGCCGTCCGTATCCCTTTGGAAAAAAAAAACAACAAGAAAATTACGCAACACTTTTTTCTCGTTTCGCGTTTATAAATTGGGCACGGCCCCTGTCAATCTAGAGCCGTATGGGTCACCCTTACCTCAATAAAATTGATTTGACTTGTAATTGATTAATTAATACGATGTAAGCACACTCTAAGTGGTTGCTAGATTATTTTATTGATAAGTTTTTATCAAAAACTTTAGGAATTAGATGAGTCCTGAGAACACTTCTATACAAAAGTCCCTTTTTTTCTCTTTTAGAAATGACGAGAATCATGTGTTTAAGCCTGAGAAATGAAAGTGGCCGTCTGAAATACAAGCTTTGTCATTTATTTCGAAAATTTCAGCGCGTGAATCTAGAGCCCTTTTCTGTCTCTACCCGATCGCTTCCTTGCGTGCTAATGCATGATTACACGAGTAGATCACGAGGGGTAGTGGTTACCTTTCTATTGTAGCTCCTCTGTCCAAGAGGAATTTGACGACCTTGTCCTGTCCGTTGGAAGCAGCCAAATGGAGAGGTGTGTGATCATTGAAGTTTCCCACATTCATCAAACGTGTCTGTCGACCTTCCATCAGTTTTTTAACGATTGGTAGCCAGCCATGACTAACAAAATTAACAATCGAAGAAATTAACGGAAAGGTATTGTCTTATTTATGGTATTATATCAACTATATCACAAGGCTGTTTTACAGTATTTGCATTCGACAGTTACCTAAGCATAGTTCTGTCAGGACATTGGACTCAGCATGTAAAGAGCGAACAGGTTCTTGATTAGGTTTTTGGTGAGTTCTAGCTTAGTATCTGATTGGTTCAGTGGTTGTTTCTCACCGCTAAGTATGGCCAAAGTGATTACATCGCAAACTACATTAATAGCATTCAGTTTCAAATCGCCGTCCACACGTTCATATCTCGTCCATACCTGGCGGCTAAGTGAAGAGAGGTTTCAAGTTTATTATTCTTCAGACTTGCATCAGTTCCATTCTTCAAAAGTAAGAGCACGCTCTGAAAAAGGAAAAAGCCCGGAATTTAGGGAAACATGAGATAAAGTTTATTTCAGTGTGTGACATAGAAAACTTGATAATGAAAGTAAGTCCAGGTGTAACATCCCTGTACTACGGCTGAATCAGCAGAGCTAATCAATTATCAGAATGATGTTCTTTTTTCAATTATTCAAAATAAAAGGAAAACACAAGCCACTGATACGATTTCAAGGTTCGTGAGGATCTGGGAGAAGCTGGAAAGTCACGGAGTTCCTCATCATCATTTTGAAGAGCTGTCAGAGAGAGAGGGCTAACGCTCGAAATTTCGACTTAGGAAACTCTTCAGGTGGTTAATATACAATATTAACTCAGTTGATGAGACTAAATTGTCTCCTAACACACTTCCCCCACCACCGACGAAGCACGGCAGTTTCTTTAGAAACTTACCCACTTTGTTCATTAACTCGTTGTTTTATAAAAAGAAGGTCCTGGAAAAAGTCGTGTAGAGATAAGGGCGTAATGAGTTCGCTACTTCGAAAGGGTACGAAACCTAGATTTGTCGCCTTCTTTCGAAGTTCATTCTCTTCCAAAATTCTGTGGTATCACTAATGAAAATTATAAAACCAAGGTGAAATAAAACTAAGAACTTCATCAGTCGACTTACTAAGACTTCACTTCACGCGAGGTAGAAAACTGACCTTTAGGAAACCTCCCTGTGCAGCATAGTGGAGAGCCGTGGCTCCTGTGATATCCTGTTGATTGACGAGTTTTAGTTCTTGCACCCGTGTATCCTGTAAAACAAGTTAAACCAGTCGGACAAGTTTAAGAAAAGCATCAAAGTTGATCTCCTCTTTACATAAAGTGATAATGGTTAGTGTTTTAATCTCGAAATCGAATTTTTCAGTTCGCGCACCGGCGAGGATCATTGCGTCATACCTTTAGAAGTCGTTCAATAGTTCTGTCCTGTCCCACTGCCCAGTGCAGCGCAGTTCGTTTTTTGTCATCCTCGCTAGTAACGTCCGCTCCACTTTCCAATAGTAGTGAGACAACTGCAGAACAACCATGAGCCGCTGCTAACAGTAGAGGGGTGCATTTCTCGCGATCCCGAGGGTTTAGATCCACACCCTGCAAAGGAAGATATTTTGATCAAGAAGTGTAGTGGTTAATAACTTCCTTGAAATTTTAACCAGTCAGAACAGAAAATTTGCAAGAGTTGAAAACGTCAGGGGGCGGGATCGGATAATTGGAAATTTTAGAAATGTTGATAGCAGTGGTTCAGAATGGTCTATACTTATTTACATAAACTTCATACTGTCTCCAACACATGTACAGAAACAAGGGAATATCAACAGTTAATACTCTCCTAACAGTAACCTCCTATCCAGGTTTCCTCAAGTTTATGGCACTGGGAGCCAATCGTAGATGAACCAAAGTCGAAAATTTTTGCCAAATGTTCAGTATGTAGGTTATTGCATGAGATATAACAGAGGCTTTGTACAGGAATTTCATTGTTTCAAATGCTCTTGAAAGAATATATGTAAAGCTAACACGAGTGACAATAAAAATAGCGGTTTAAAGAAAAGCATCATTAATTTGTACTTACGTGTTCTACGAGAAACTTTACAACGCTGATATGATTATACATTGCACACCTAAAGGAAAATTTGAGAGGTGGAGCTAGATGTTTCTTTAATTAACAGGTCTTAGTAATAGCGGAGCTTACTTAGCCCCATAATTATACAAAATGGTAGTAACCCATCAAGCCGAAAAAAATTGGATGTACGACCGTTCGACTGTACGACCATACGACCGTACAAGGTGCTATTTTTAACATGAGTGGTCAACTGTACCGCGGGCACGCTAACGCCACGGCTTTGTCCAGTAGTCCAAGGGTCAGTGCACACCGGGTGGTTGACTTCCGACTACCTCACCCAATTTTATCCGCTTTTAAGGAAAGAAATATTGCTGATAAAAGAAGCAAGGGAGTTTGGTGGTAAAAGTGGCTTGGTAACATCTCCAACTTGTCAAAACCATAAGATTATAAACTGTTTATTATCTCTTGTTGACTGTTTGAACCAAGCCACCCCAGTCCGCAAACTTTAAAATAGTTCGGTCCCACGTGTGTCCATATTGTGCCATAGGCAGATATAGTGTTAGATGATGATATTTCCAGTTTCGAAATAGTTTGGCTATCCTCAGAAAAGAGAAAATTAAAGGAAAAAATATTGTTTACTTTGGATGGCACGTGAACCCATTCACTAGGGAATTAGCCTGTTCCTGGCTTTCAGTAAGTTAAATGGAGCGAAGTAAAAAACAGTGCGATGGCAGTGGCAAAGCGGTAACTAGGGGGTTTTGGGTTGACGCGAACCGACCCGCACCTCCCTAGTTTTTTCACTCCCCTGCTACTATCGCGCCGTTTACCACCGCGCTTCGTTTTAGTATAGGTAATAATATGACTTTTGAACTTTGAAAAATTTACAGGTACTTATTACACGAGAATTCATGTAATAACTTATCAATAATTTTGTAATATCATACAATCATAAAAAAATTTGCGATTTCCATTCGCGTAAGAACTTTGCAATTGTAATTTATGAAAAGGTCACTTGTTTCCAGCCGATCAGAAGCGCGTAATTTTTCATGTTTATCATTTTTCAGCCAATCATAAGTGTGCAGTTTTTCGTGTTCATCATTTTTCAGCCAATCAGAAGTATCATTACCAACTTAATGCTTGGAAAGGCTAACAAGGACAAGACTCTGAGACACACCCAGTTTTGACTTATGCTTATACCACGGAAATGGAGCTGATATCCAAAGAGAGTTACATTCTTAATAAAAAAAGTTTTTTTATAATATTTTTTTCTTTGATAATGCCCTTTGTTTAGACTTAAAAATTACATCATGACATTTCTAGCTCCTAATTACCTGTGTAAAGGTGTCATGAATTCTTTGTCCAACAAAGCGTGTTGGAAAGCCGCTGGTTCATGTTCATATAAACACTGAAGGATCACTGGCGCACCAAGACGGCACGCGAAATGGATAGGAGTACCACCATTTAACCGCTGACGGTGAAAAATAGATCTTTTAGAAAAAAAACAAGTCTTTTCAGGAGAAAGACTTAATAAATGAAAGCGAAAGCCAAAAATATAGAAGCCTCAACTGAAACTAGTCCCAAACTAGGATACACGGCATTCATTACAATAGTCAGGTATTTTATTCTGGAACATGCTATTGTCTACCATTGTGTAACAGGGAGTCGGGCTGTATCATGATATTAGGCCACTTTGTGGAAAATGTCGAATTTCTATGTGAACAGAGTACATTCAGGACGATTGGGGTAGATTTTGTGGCTGCTTACCTTGACAGCTGTCACAGAGCAACCATGTTTCAAACAAAGTTTAACAGCCTAAAAATGCAAAAGAAAATTAGTCTTTAAGTATAAATTGGTGGGCACATGTTTCGAACCCATTCGACCCTCAGCTGCTTGAATTTCTGTTATGTTGTTTAATTTACCTTCAAAACACCGCTGTCTATAGCAAGATGTAGCAGAGAGCTTCCTTCAGAGTCCACACCGTAAAGAAGGTCCAATTTCTGTTTTGTACCCCTCTGGACTTCGTAACCTATGACGCAGAAATTGCCACAAATTGTTGAGAAAAGAAACATTTAACCAATTAGCCGTAAGGATGATCTGCAAATGATGAAAAATCACCGAAAGAAAAGGAACCTAAGATCGAATCATGAAATAAACGGGGAAGACAATAACAGCAAAACTAGTGAACAGTAGAAAAACACTTTCAACCGGCGTCTATTCTCTTCTGAAACAGAATAATGTCATCTCTCTTCAACCTCAACTCCCGAGGAGAAACCTGATCATTTCTTACATTTTTCGAAGAACAAGGCCATAATATCCGCTGACCCCTTCTGAGCGGCAACGCTGAGTGGTGTCATGTGATCAGTTGCCTTTGCTGTTACTTTAGCCCCACAGTCAAGCTGAGGAGAGGAAAAGTTTGGTTGTGATGGGAATTGAGATTTCTTCTCTCTTATGCGCCAAGTAATTCAATTTTCCAGAAGCTTCTCCTGATTTCTGCTAAATGAAGCGATTTAGGGCGTTGCAAGTCCGTCACATGCAAGCCAAGCGTAAGAAATTCTTTAAACTTTCTTTGACAGTTTGCCTTACGCAAATATTAGTGCTCTTTGGTGTAGAGAGACCCCTTGAGAATAAAGTGTCAGTCCCAAGAGCGAAATACAAAGTCCATGCTGTATTGCGCAAAATTCTAATTTCTTTGCACATTATAACTTGATGACGTAACAGATATAATTGTTAAGATTTTCTATCGCTAGACAGTGTTATGGACACCTAGAACCAATGGGTAAATATTTATCTTGATTTCTTTTGATATTATCCATATGAACTGAAACTAATTTGTTAACGCATTACTTTACAGATTTCGAATCTCCGATCCATATCCATGGATTTTGTCATAACCTTCATCCGTTATTTATTGTAATAAAATATCGAGGTTTGGAACCTTTGGTATATTAATGTCCTAACACACCGTCACACATGCCTTATCAATTATGGCACCAAGTGTGACTAAAATAGTTAGTTCAGCACTTGTCGACGTTTCACAATGAATGCTTATCTTACCAGCTTTTGGCAAATTTCTAGGGCGTTTCGGTGTTCCAAATGAGCGGCATTATGCAGAGGAGTGTATTTTCCGCGTCCTTCAATGTTAACATTGGTGGTCTTGTGGTTCAGCAAAGCCTTTGAAAACATGGAGAAAATCAATCGGTTATATCAAGCAAGAGAGCCAAGAATACAAAAACCTCGTTGAGGTGAATAAGCATTGAAATGGGCTAGTAAACCAGAAAGGTCCGCCGCTTTAAATTCGGCATGCGCAAACCTACTCCACAATGTCCATAAATTTACCTCCACCATTTCCACGTTCCCGGTACGCACTGCGGCGTGAAGTGCTGCCTCTTCTCTGTGGTCCTTAAGGTTTGGGTTTGCATGGTTGTGGAGGAGAAATTTTACGGTATTGACTTGTCCGGCTGATATTGCACAGTGTAAGGCTGTTTTACCATAACTGTCCTTTTTGTCGATGTCTGTTGAAAGTGAAGAATTTTTATCAATTTAATTTGATCAATCCTCATAAGATGGAAGTGTAATCGTTCACCACTAAGTTTTCGTAAACCAGGCCAAAGTACTGATTGAAAAATGTAAGAGGCTATTAGCTATTTCTTGCATCAAGTTTAGATACTGTCAACTTTCTCTTTCTCCAATGATCATCGTTGCGCAGTCTCAAATGTCCCTTTCACCCAGAAGTCATCAACATGTAACTTCTCTCTTACTATTCATGCATTATTCAGCATGAGAATACTTATCAGGTGGAAGTTGCTGTTATGATCTGACAACAAATCTTCAAAACTAATGTACAACGAAATGAGTAGCAGCGAGAGGAGAGAATTAAGAATCAAATCTTGAGAGATAAAGGGTTCAAATAAATAGATTCAGGTTTGTTATTTCACCATTATAATCTAATAGTTCAGGAGTTTATGGATTGCAAATCATAGTAGTGTCCAAGCAAGTCTCATTAACCTTCATTCTGCTGAAGGAGTGCTCTGAGTTCTTCGGTGTTTCCTTTTCTGGATAAAGTGTGGAACGTTTCTCTCTCATTTTCTCCATAGTCACCTGACTAAAAACATCAAGAAAAAAATTCATGTCATGCATGCAACACTCTGTATGTTTTTTTCTCTATTAAGTTGTATCGGTATCAGCAATGATATCTCCTTTTGGGTGTTAAAGCACAATCTTACTGTTTTCCTTCCTAACTAACTTTCCCTCTTTTGTTGTTATGGTCTCACGGCAAAAAATGAGTCCAGCTGTCTATTCAGTCTTCTTTACACAAAACAGTGTCAACCAAAAGGGCTTGCACCATGAGAAAAAAAGGACCTCAAGATGAGCTATGTCCGCACGGCTCATTTTCGAATGACTTTATTTGTCTTTATCTGTGTAAGCGTGGGTGCAGCCATTTCTATAAAAAGCCTTATTATCCTTAATTGTCCGGTTTTCATCGGCATGGAGCGTTTAGAAGAATTGTTTTCCTTCTCTGAACAGGAAAGTTATCAATTACAGGTAACCCCCCC